CCTTTCTCAGGGGCGTAACCCAGACACAAGTATAAAATAAGCCCTGCCTGCAGTTCTGCCTGATCCAAGTTACGCTAAGAAGGACAAGAGGAAAACACTGGGGAAGAAGGGGGGGAAAAAAAAAAAAGCACAAGAATTGTGTACAAGTTAAGATAGGAATAAGAGGATAATTCAAAACAGATTCATGTATTTTCAGATCTGTAGAAGTGAAGGAAGATAAAGCAGTTTTCTGTACACAGCATTTTTATTTTTTTTAATATCATTTGCAATTATATTACTGGTACACCATTTAAAAAATAGACCCTAAGCACGAATCCAACTGGGAATCCGCCAAGAAAATTGGAGAGAGAAGAAAAAGACACCATGGCTTGAATTAAGGACATTGTAGAAAACAAAGTTTGCATTTGATTTCATTTCTGTTGGCAAATAAGTGCAAAACAGGATTTTTGCATGGATCATCTGAAGATAATTTTAGTTTTCTTCCTTCAAAGCTGCTTCCTTTAGGCAAAGAGCTCATCTGTGCCATTACTATAAATTATCATAATGATTTAAAATCCAGTCATTTGTAATCAATCTAAATCACTAATATAGGTCATTTATTCAATAGCTCCCTTAAGTAACTGAAGCTTTAGCACCAAGAACTGCCTTTAGTAGCCAAACCTATAAAACATGCCAAAGGGACCTAGAACAAATCACTGACAAAACATAACAATGTTGTTTAGTCTCACCTGCTGGAATCACTCCAAGAGGGACTGGTGCTCTGACAGGTGCCGATATGAAGTCTGTGCCCTTTCCAGCATCTATCTGGGCTTTAAGTAGCAGACCATGAGCAACTTCACTGACAAATCCATCTCCACCAACACAAACTACCCTATTAAAAAAAAAAAATACTTCACAGTTCAAAATAGACCATTCCATAATTGAGCAAACCAGCATAAGGCAGCTAAAACACCACGTCAGTGCAATGGTACTTCAAGCAGTTTTAGAAACAGTTAAAGCCTTACTGTCAGATCAGTGCATAGCAACTAACAAGATATAAGCATCCTTATTTCTGTTTCCCTTTGAGTAGGAATAACTATACTTAACTTCTAACTCATACCTCACCTTATAGCCACAGAACCAAGCAGGGGAGGACTCCAGCACAAGCCCAAGCACTTCAGAGGAAAAGCTCTCCAAATCTTTTAATATTGACCACAATAAGCATTCCACTGGTTTTTAATTGCCATTATAATAACAACTAACCAAATATTAAACTGAAAATACTTGAAAACAGCTAATCCCACACACTATGCAGACAGTGGAGGGATTTAGGAAGGTATAAAATCCTCATACCAGCAATCCTTTGAATGAAGGTATTTAATCACTGCTTCTCGAGCATGTAATTAAACTCCCACCTGCTGTGGCTATAGGGAAGAATGTATTTGTTTATAAAGGCTCTGTTACAGCAAGTGTCCATCGTTGATGTCATTTTCGGTTCTGTTTATTTATTTTAGGTAAATATGAACACGATTCTCCAAGTGAGCACATTTGAAAGTTGAAGATTTTTAAGGTACACATTCTACAGAACAAAAAATGGTAATATTACACCCCATATATTTACAATATAGATAAGTCAGGTTTACTGTAGGAGGTGCTTATTTAAACTATTCTATCATACATTCATATGAATGCAGTTGTGAAACTATGTCCAAAAATTCAACCAGATAAAAACAGTACACTTATTAATATCATGAATATATTTTTTAAAAAGTGCTTAAATTAAATCATCCATCTCTTCAGTTCCTGTCATTATTTTCTTTCTACACTTAATTTTTAAATTGGCAGGAATGTTTCTCCGTCTGAGCTAAACAATTTTCACACACACACACAAAAAAAAAAAAAAATCAAAAAGGAAAAAAAAAAGGAACAAAAAGAAACATTTGGATTCTGTTATCTTACTGTGTGTAATCAGGAGTCAGATTTTTATTTCATTTTTTATTTAGTTTGACATAATCATAGAATCCTTAAAGTTGGAAAGGATCTTCAAAGACCATCTAGTCCAGCTCCCCTGCAATGAACAGGGACATATACAGCTCCATCAGGTTGCTCAGAGCCTGGGCCAGTCTGGCTTTGAAAGTCTCCAGGGATGGGGCATTCACCACATCTCTGGGCAACCTGTGCCAGCACCTAAGCTTGAAAATCTCTGCCACAGGAAAAAAAAAAAAAAAAAAAGTAATCATTGGAGTGTGATAAACTGGGAGGGACTTAAATGCAGATTCTAAACATTAGCACTACTGAAAACACACAAATATTCATCTGATTTGGGGTCTGTATTGTTGTTATAAACAAAGGATCAAAAACAAACAAACAAACAAAAAAACAACCAGAAAGCCAGAAAGAAATGTAGCTAAATTTATTTTTTTAATTCATGTTAGTTCTCAACAGTTTCCCTTTTGGCCAGAAACACAGATAGCATCAGACACCAGGGATTTCAGATCTAATCAGCAAGAACCTGTTATGCATAAGGAATGAAAAGCCTTGAGCAAACAGATTTGACTAAGACCACGAAGAAGGCTTCTTAGAGGAAAAAAACATCTGTCTAACCATCAGACACAAGTTTCTCAGTCATCTGTTCCCTGAAGTCTGACCAACTCTAGCTACTCCAAATAAAATCCACAGTCATGTAGGCTCCTGACTGGGGAAGAAATACTTGCATATACCTTTCACATTTGTTACTGCACAAACAAGAGAATGCAGCTCAGAGCCAGTTTGCATTTGCAATGTACTCGCTCTCTAACCATGGCTCGGCCTCAAGGCAGGGAAAAAGCACACAGCCAACTTGGGTAATTTCTGGTATGGGTAAGAAAAACAAAAGAGGATACAAAAAGAGGTGAAGTCACACATAAGATGCTTGATAAGATGTTGCAGAACAGCATGGGAGCTGGAGAAATCAGAAAAAATAAATGAAACAGAACACAGTCGAGATCAGCTATGACAAAGAATTAAAGCACTGCAGTATTGCTTACAACAAGCACCCAAGATACAAATAAGTGGGACTAACACCCTGCTGGAGGTAGAAAGCTTCCAAATTACTTCATGTGCTGTTTAACATGTAAGAAATCATAACTCTTTTTGAGAGAAATTCAAGATCATAAATTGCACTTCATTATACTGCTAGCTTACTCTAATAAATAAAACAGCATCGTGTCTTTGAGGTACAGAAGTGCTGTTCTTCTATTTTGTAAACAGGCAACCAAGCAACAATGTAGCTGACTTGAATAAAACTGAACAGGAAGCGAAGGCAAAACTGGAGAGACTGGAGTCCACCAAATAACAAGCAATACTGCTCAATAACTGGGTAAAACTTAAAGGAAAGAGCAAACAGACATCACATTAGTTGGCTGCTAAAATTGCTAAAAGGGTAGAAGGAATTATCCTTACCATTAATCCTCCCCAAAACCAAACCATTACCATTTCTAAGAAAGGACAGGGATCTGTTCAAATCAGCTTTTTCTGTTCTATTTCCTTTTGTACCTGGCTACTAGAAAGCAAAATGACACTCCAGTGACTTCACCCAATGTTCAAAGACAACAGTTTAAGAAAGCTTTATGTTTATTTATCATTATTTATGAATTAAAATACATGCCTGTTGACAGTCAAGTAATAAAAAATGAAGCATCTAAAGAGAATTGATTTTCTCAGTCTGAACATATATCACAAACAGAGTAACTCATAAAATACCTCTTGGCAGACTTTGGATGGAATACAAATAAAAACTAGTGTTACAAGGTTTATTAATGTTCACAGCCACTAACTGACTCACCCGTCAAATGCTTGGAGTTCACATTCTTTAAGTACTGACAGAGCATGTCCTTCATATTCAGTTACTGTGGAAAACAACATTACTCAATTTTCAGAAGATAGGATAAATTGTTTTGGTTTTTTTTTCCACTTCTAGCATAAGAAACACACGTTAATTCAGTTCAGAACATATTTTTGATCATTAAATACATTACAATTATGAGAAGGTAAGTTGTGCAATTACACTAGTTAAAGGGCAAGACTTCAAAATTCAGCTGGCGTCAGGCACGTGGCTATTCAACACATTTAAATTCAGAGAATTAGAGAAAATGTTTGTTGCATCAAAATGGAACTTGTAGCATTGGTACAGGTACATTTCTTCAGGAAAATGTAAGCATATCTTCAGTAAGACTGAATTATTTCCATATCAATCACCTTTAATTGCCTTTGTATGCAAATTGCTAAATGAAAAATATCAGGAGTTACACACAGAAATATGAAATCAAGCCAAATACCAGTGACAACAGAATATAACACACAGAGGAAGGTGGCACAAGCATGCACCAGAGTTCATAGCCTCTGGAGGAAATGAATCTGTCAGTCTACATTGATGTCTCTGTGTTTGCTGATACCCTACATTGTACCGTAAATGCCAGTGAAGACAGGATAAACTGGCATACTACAGATGGCACGAAGCATCATAACTACATTTAGCATTTTCTAGGCCAGCTTTGCCAGAAGAGACAGCCCAGCTGCACCCACCCATCAAAGATTTTTGCTGACTGACATGACACTTGCAGATGGATTTTTTGTGTAAGAATGTGCATCATTATATGCAAAATTACATTAATCTTTTATGCTTGTCTGTCCCTGGTGCCAGCATAGTTCGAAGCCTTTCTCCAGTGTTTCTAAATACTGTTAAAATTATTAGTCTTGGTGTCTAAAACAATCATCCTGTATCTGTACACGTTATAGCATACTATTTCTGCAGACTACTTAAATGCTGCATAAAAATGTTGAAAACACTCCTCTGTCTATACACAGTGTGCATGTATACAGTGAGTATAACTCATTCTTTAAAAACCAATAATAATAATAAATAATTTTTTAAAAGTGATAAAATCTCTACACTATGCACTAGAAACTGTCTATCAGCGTACAACTTTCAAGTTTAAAAACAAAAACAAATGGACACTTCGTTCTATTATTAAGTGACAGTGAAAAATAAGCCCTGGCAGAGTTGATTGTGTAGGAATTAAAAACACTGAACAGCAACACCAAGAGCCAACTACCAAAATATGAGATGGGATGAATAGTTCTGCCTTTTAGCACTTCATTATCCAAATTTGTTGTTACTACTTTGTGGATGTTGTTCTAAGTAAACTTATATTGTCTATGTACTGCAAATCATTTCAGAGACTCAAACTTAACATTTTCCTACAATAAATTTTAGATCTTGAATCAGTGTAAGTATAAAGACTAAAAGTAAAAACTATCTTCAGTATAAAAATTGTACAGAATCTTTCAATTCGTAGCACCCTAAGTGTGTACTTATTGCCCTCCGAGTTTTTTGTTTTGTTTTTTAAGATGCACCAATGAACACTACTTTCACTCAGCCCCCTTTTCCATTTGTTTTCTTCTTTCCTTTGTTTCTTTTTCCTTAATACTTAGTTGATAATTATTTAATTCTTTACCAGTATTTAAGACTCTAATGCAGTTTTCTCTTTTTGCCTGTAGGAGGAGCGTTAGGCAGCTAATAAGCACTTCAGCACTTGGTTATTGCCAAAATAGCTCTATTTTAAAGGATAAGCAATTTCACATTTATCTGGCTAACAACAGCAGTTTTTCAGAATTTAAATCAAAATAATCAAAATAAATTTTCAACTGTTTCTATTCAATTAGGAAAAATGCTTTTAAAATCAAAAAGAATGATATTCACAGCTTGTATTAAATTATGTGAATTAATCTATAAAACTTGATTCAAATTTGGCTTATTAGTTCAGCTTTAGGATTTCAGCCAAAAATGTAATTTCATACAAGTTAATGATAATGCTGCCTTTAGCAGAGTTTAACAAATGAGGTTACCTTCACAGTAAAAATAAACAATAACCAGTAGTATGGAAAAATTCCAAAGGGTAATTTTATTTCAATAATTGCTTAAAATGAAGTAATAGCTAATTTAACAATATGACATAGGCGCCTCTTATCACTATGGAGTTGTAACAGAAAATTCTCTTTCACAGTTCAATTGATTTTCTTTTAAAATGTGGCCTAAATAATTTAAAAATATGTAGATAAAGATTATAAAATCAGCAAGATGCATCACATACAAACACTTATCACATTATTGTATTATTATATTATTTTATTAGTATACCTAAATCAGATTTGTTCTGAGTGCTTTTTGACCTGTAACCTGAGCTGGCCATGATTTCACAAAACGTTTAGGCAACAACTGCAGGTTAAACAGCATCCTTCAGCTGGAACTCATCATTTTGCAAATTAATTACAACAAACACAAGAAAAAAAGACTTTCTGGGATTAGAACATCTTGCACAAGAGTTCACACCTCACATGGATATGAAATCCATAACTAAAGAACAGCAATATATTAGAGGGAGTTATAACGCTATGAATACAATATTATTTGCATTGGATAATACTAATACCATTTCCTTGTAAACTTGGATGTCTGAGAGGACCAAATCTGATGCAGCAAAAGTTTCGCTCGCTTCACAGAAAGCAGCAGAAGCAATGAGATCATTACAATTTTACTGCTTTAAGAAAATCTGTTCAGTTCCTTACAGGAAGCCAATGAAATAGAACAGCCAAAGGGCAAATTCAGTGAAAGACATAAGGACATAAAGCATAATCCTGGCACAATTTGGAGCTTTAAATCCAAACCTGATATTGGAGACCCACTGTCCAGTGTCAAGCAGAAGGCAGCATCAATATAACATTAAACTTTTACCTTTGTGTTCTCCAGACAGCCAGCTGTGCCTGGTGAAAACTGCCCTTGTCATGCCAGAACTTAATCACTTAGTCTTCCAGGTTATCCCTCAAACTCAGTCAGAACCCAGAGATAATGTGCTCTTCCCATTAGCCTCTCTTGTGTGATGTCCAACTAATAGATGTTCTCAGAAGAGAGGTAATATTTAAGGGCACGTTTATCAGAACACAGGAGGAAATATTATCAAATGTATACAAGACTGTCAGACATTAAATGGTTGTTTCCTTTTATTCAACATTTGGCCTAGAAGTACAAAACTGATATTATTGGTATTGATGACTATAGGAGAAAAACTGTTCAATGAAGAATAGAAATACTAAAACACTTTTGATGACAAAACAGATTGCATTGTATTAACTAAAATTCCAAATGCACTACTTGCAGGCAGAACCAGTAAGGATTCAAACTGTCCTGCAAGCTTAGGTAATAGCTTCACAAAAGTTTTAACTATGCTTCTGAGGCAGCTTACCTGTGACATCAGTTTTTATATCAGCAAGTTTAAAAAGCGGTGACACTTGTTCATAATAAATATGAGTGGCTTCTCTTCTGTGGCTGCTTGGATTAACAAATACTTTCAAGGATTTGGGCCTATTTTGAAACCCTAAAAAGAAAACACAAAACATTTATCATCACACACCATCCAGCTATTGCTACAGCTTAAATGAATTTTTAATACTAGAACAAATACAGTACTTCAACACAATAATTACAGAATTAAAAAGTCTCCATTTCTTCCAAATACGTGCTATTTGTCTCAAAATTACAGTACTGATTACTTTTTTATGTAAAGTTAATAACAGTGGAAATGCATCACAATTGTTGAAACATTGTAGAATGAGAAGGAAAAAAAGTATAAGTCATAGCTCAGTTAAACCTTGAGAAGGAAAAAAAGTATAAGTCATAGCTTAATTAAACCTGGATACAGAAGCAGAATGAGTGTGCAGAAGTTACAGGGTAGGGTAACAAAAAGAAGTATCAAAATATTTTCTTTTTGGAATTCCATGTGAAACAATGCCAGAAGGCATATGACAATAAGATCTAACAAAACTGGCAGCACAATTCAATACTGTTGCTTTCTGGGACTGCAAATCAAACAACGCATCTTGAAAAGCAAGAAGAGATGTCAAGCAATAGATAATCTGGTAATATCCATCCAGAAATCTAGGAATTATGTTTTTCTGGGTTTTTTGTTGTTGTTGTTGTTGCTGTTTTAAGTTACAATTAGGTTTTCAAATTAACTCTGGACAGAAAATGCTGAAAAACACTACTTTGCAAACAACACTCAATCCTGCACATTGAGCCAACGAAATGTCTTTGAGAAGTAACTTTATTACCTGCAATATGCTTTTTTGCTGAATAGTAAATAATTCATATTCAATACATAATAAAAAAAATAGTAACGCCATTTTTTCAAGTCTTTTCTATGATCCCAAAAGCTGCCCTGATTCAGTTGATTTGTTGCTAGAAGCAAGTGGTGGCATCCAGTATGCTGTTTTTTGGTCATTATTTGAAATACACGAGTTGAACAATTTTGTGTTCAATTAATTCACTTGTAAATTCTCAATTTCCATTTAGCATCAGGTTAAATTATCACTTTCTCAGCCAAATAAAAGCCAGAAGATCTGATAAGCATGCTGCTTTCAACATTCAGGAAGAACATCAGCAGTAGTCCTCAATGCCAAAAGGAACCAAAAGTGAAAAAAAACAAATTTTCCTGCCACATATAGAGTATTACTTTATTTTTTACAGTCATATGAACCTTAAAATCACTGGCTGGGATTTCCTGAAGCTGTTTCCCTTTTATTATACTGAATAGGAATGATTCCTCTGAGAAATTATAGATAAATACTGTTTTAGAATCAAAGGGAAAGTATTACTATAAGACTATAAAATTCCTATTCTTTGACTCATTTAAACACATCAAGGAAAGCAGAGATGAAAATGAACACTTTTACTAACCACAAGCCAGATAATCTTAGAAGATTTCTTGAAGATACTGAAGGATATCTACTGGGGCAGTGTAGTACTGATGCATCCTTAATGCCTGAATACCTGGGATGTCTTCAGTCAGAGGTCTTAGCACATTCACAAAGAAGCACGTTCTTGGGAGGCATGTCATGTCATGTGTATGAAATAAAACAGCCCTTAAGTAGAGACAGATTCCCCCTTCGTGCCAACTTACATAGTATATTAAACACTTTCAACTCTAAGCATTTGTTGACACTACTCACTGGTGTTTAACTTGAAGTCGCTGGCCTGCTTTATTTCTTTCTATCCAAGAAATACAAAAATCCACAATAAAGAAAATGGTAAAGCAGGAAATTCTCAAGCTTACTAGTCACAGGAACTTCCTTCTCTTTTTCTCTCTCTATTAGCAAAAAGACACACTGATGATTTAGAAGCAAGGCAACAAACTTTATTCTCCTCTAAACAGTATGCTGATGAGCTTGCTGTTATACACCACAATTGATAGTTTAGAAAAATCCTATGAAGAAAAAAAATTTTTTTTTAAATGCCTGCTTATGGGTTCTTAGACAAATCACTTTGAGAATATGGAACAGTATCTAAATTTACTGTATCAGCAAAAGAGTAGAGAAAAGGGTCACGAGTAAATAAGGTGTATTCCGAAGGCTCTTGATAGTAGACCAATTCTGTGCTCATTCCTTTTTCATTTCACAAATGACATTTGAGAAGAGAGATGGTACAGTATCCTAAATGAATGGCTGATCAGGACAAAAATTATTAGCTATCATTCCCAGTGTGTAACGGACGTGTTATAAATCAAGCAACTGGGCTCAATAAAAGAAAATCCAGTAACAGTCAAAGATGAAATTTTCACACAATTATAGAGTGAAACTTCTTTAAAAAAGGAGTTTTAAATAATTATCATCTTTTAATTTTCTTTAAACAACATTGTGAATGAATTGATCTTACTTACTACCGCCTGCAACTGCTTTCAGTCTGTCAGCCTTTTGGTGCTGTCCTAACTGGTGTTCTGTTATTGTTTTCTGTAGCTGCTCCATTTGAAATGAACCAGCAGCCTAAAGCAGGAAGGCCAACTGTTCCTCCAGTACTAACAAATGTGCTAATATGCACTAGTTTAAACTTGATCTATCAAGTGAATCAGTGAACCATGAAGGGTGGTAGGTCAATCAGGGTGTTCTGAAAACAAAGGCTCGGAGGGCAGCAGAGACGCTATGCTCAGACATACATCTGTGCTGCTTTCCATTCCTAGTTTTATGGAAATGGGTTTATGTTACAAAAGTTAAGGGTCTGGAATCATGTCGTTATTACATGCATTTATAAATACTTTATACACCAGTAAGAATATTATACATGAGGAAAATTAATAATATGAAACAGATTTGTTAATGTAACTATGGAGACACCACTGTTAATATTAACTAAGCAAAGTTAATGTTTAACATTAATGGTTTAATTAAAACTTCATGCATGAAGTTTCAGCCCTGTATATCAAATCCCAGTGTGAGAGAGATGCTACAAAATAGTACATAAAAATAAAATGCACCTTATGCATTTTTTGCTACTTCAACGCTTATTTTTAACAGTATTTATTGTCTTATATTCATTTACAGAGCTTTTAAGCAAAACTTTTTCAAATTAACTGCTAGTGAGAATAAGTCTCATCACATTTGAAAAAAATTCAAAAAAGGAAAATGAGTAAGCATTGCTAATTATCCATTTTCTTCCATTTCCAGTGCCATCTTAACCCTTTAAGTAGCTCTGAGCATTTGCATGTGGAGAGGATTCAAAATTAATCAGTGAATCCCACTTACACAGCATGCCTGCAGCCCACACTCATAAGCCCAATACAGGAAGATGTAAAGAGGAAATCTCTGCGAGTCAGCATACAACAGGTCTGACATAAGACCAGCTCCACATTAGGAATGGTCTATGCAGCCATTTGGGACTTTCCAGGAGCCTAAGCTCCATAGGTGTGTGCTTTGATTTGGCAGCAGTCATTTCACATCAATTTAACAAATATGCAAATACAGATCATAGGTTTTTTTTGAATGCTATATCATTGAGCAAGCTCTTAATGTCCCGCAGGAGAAACAGCACTGGTACGTATAAAATCAGCATTCATTTAAAAGTGAGAAGATGGTAGCACGTGCTTGTTACTGTTGCACACGTACATGGAAAGCTATAACAGACACTGAACCTGCACTGAAAACAACTACAGAGTATGCATGCTCACCTATGGGATGACAGGTTTCATGAAAGATCAGACACTAGACAGACTTTAAATGGAAGTTCTCAGAAGGGAAGTTGAAAGCAGACAAGATTTCTCATAATAAAGAGCACAAGAGAAGTAAACATACAAGAAACATTCACATCAAACACGTAGTAAAAAGGAAATTGTGTACACTGTATTTTAAAAAAGACAAAATAAATAAACAAAAAAGATTTCACTAGAACAGACCTCCACATAAAAACTAATCCCTGATATACTTGCAACTGCTGTTGATTAATAAATGAACAACACTTAAAAATCCAAAAAGAGTAACTTAAACAAGTAGAAATGTATGTCGTTTCAGTTGCTGGAGACATACCCTTCAGTAATATTTAACCATGTGACAAATGCATATTTACTGACAGCTATATTCAAGCATACAGACACAACATTGACAAATCACCTCCTTTAATTTGCTCTGGCCTCAAAGCAGTAAAAATCATCCAAGAATGTAAGTCAATAGTTAATGAAAACTTTCTTCCAATATGAAACGTAACAACAACAACAACAACAAAAAGTTATTTTGGAAGGGTATAATTTTATTTTTTTTTTCCTGCAGTCTATAAGTAAACAAAAAAGAGCCATTTTGAGTTCATTAGTGAAGATGTTTTAAGATGTCCTCAGCACTCTTACAAAAACAAGCTATGGAAAAAAATAGGAAAACTTATCACCATTTCTAGCAGAGATATATTAATGTACCTTTTGCAATTTTAATTAGCAAACAATCAGCAGAACTTTACCACACTTTATACTTTTAGTCCAAAACTGTATCCCACTGGAGCCTTCCAGCCAATGTTTGGTGCATTTTAAATAAAAAGATTTTTTTTCCTGAATTATATTATTAGTATACCACCATTGTTTGAATAACTGATAATGTCTCTGCCACTTAGTATAGAAATGATGCTGTCAATTTGCTGATTTTCTGCATAGAAATACAGTTTAAATACTTACTCAGTCTTTAATAACCAACACTATATAAAACTACTTCTACTATAACTACAGAATTTGCAACAATAAACACTTTAGTAAATGTTGTGGGGGTTGCGTTTGGTTATTTCCCCCCACACACGAGTCCTGATTACTCCTGAAGCAAAAAAAGAAAGGAGAAAAAGTACTGATTAAACATCAAACAAAATCTGCACGAGGTTTAACTTCTGGAGAAAGACCGAAGCTGAAGGAAGAACCAGAGACAGCAACATCGCACAGAACGCTTTTTTCACGTTCAGGTGGCTTCCAGTTACAAAGCTACAAAACAGAGGCTGCACCTCGAAGTCAAGGCAACCTGAGCAAGAGATACTGCTGCTTTTTTTTTTTTCTGTGAACATATGGTATCACTGCTCCTGATGGATGGAGGGTAATCTGGGAACAAAACAGACATTTGCTTCTTATGCAAATGTCTTGCTTTTATGGGTAGCTGGAGATCTGCAAGAATCCTGGCACTTCCGCAGAGTTCAATATTTAGTGATAAGGCCTTTCAAAAGGAGCAAAGGAAAGTATGTTTTAAAACACAATTTTGTTTGGAAAATCCAAAGCATGTTGTAAGCAAACAGTATGCACACTTAAAGCACATTATTTTACTTTCTCTGATATCTGTTTTTGACAAAGTAACTTTAATAGAAGTACACTATAATTCAGCATTGGCAGTGCCACAACAAACATTACAGAGATGTAAGATTTTAATGCTCTAATCTGCCTCAGCATTAACAATTCAGCTAGAGTTTTAACAGTCTATTATAAGATAGGTTGTTTTTCTTCCATAATCAAGAAATTCATTTGCTGTGGTCAGTAAGCAGAAACATTTTGAAGATAAATTAAGTTTGGTTTGTGTTTTTTCTGTTTTATTTTAATTACAAGTGCACTATACTACGTGTCTTTCCAAAACTGAAGGTCTTAAATTACAGTGAAAGGGTTTGGCTTGTTTTTTGCTTTGTGTTGTTTCCACCACACACATATCCCCTAAACAGTGAATATTTCTTTAACTTGAATCAGTTTCCATGAAAAATACGACTATTAGGGGTTAATAAAGCATCCCAAAAATTATTATTAGCTCAGGCAAAATCGGAAAGATAGTTCTAAAATAAAGAATTGCCTCTTATCACTAGCCAATGTCAATACACTTTGTACCAAATTATACAACAAGAGTCCTACAGAGCCTTAAGAGCACTTCCACTAGTGAATTTATGAAGGAGAAAAGCCTGTCCCGTTAACCTATAAGAATCTGCAGATCTCAAGTGGAAGCTCTTAAACAAGCTCTGGGCAGCCTCTGAAGAGTCCAGAATACAATCAGCTACTCGTTTGCAGTGCTTGAATACTTCTAAGTAATAGCATCAGATGCAAAAGCAGCATCTTTTTCTACAGATGCATTAGTCATCATCACTTTCTTAATCTGGGCACTTCACTACGTAGAATGTCAGTAGTAAACATTTTCCAACAACTTTCATATGTTTGTGTTTTAATTTCCACAGACAAAACGGTTTCTCTAAGCTTCATTAAACCCTATGCTTTACTGATAGAAACAAGTGTGAAGTAATATTAACTCAGATTAAGTGCTTACCATTCAAAATTTCCTTTAGACATCTAAACCATGAATGACAATGGTCTTCACTGAAGTTATTCAAGTGGATAGCACAGTCTGTTAGTTTATTTTCTTCTTTATGCAAGCATTTAAAGACAGTGATACCCAACAAAGTACCACCTTTCTTCTGTCCAGCAAAACGGCGACGTTTCACTTTTACTGAAAATACATCCTTCATTTCAATAATCTCCTCTTTCACCTGTAAAGCTGTACTGGAATCACCTGAAGAGAAGAAAAAAAAATGTTATGAGTTGAATAAGAGTAAATATCTTAAAAAAGCATATAACAGCAATAACAACAACAAAAACTGTTACGGCTTCATCACTAGATCCAACTGTTCACAGAATCATGGAATCATCTGAGTCAGAAAAGACCCTTGTAGGTCATCAGGTCATCTACATCTATACCTAGATCAGGATGCTCAGAGCACTGTACAGTCTGACCTGAATGTTTCCAGAGATGGAGCATTCACCACCTCTCTGAGCAACCTGTTCCAGTTCCTCATCACCCACAGCGTAAAACACTTTTATTCTTATATTCAATTTCCCCTCTTTCAGTATGAAACCATTTTCTCTTGCCCTATCACAACAGACCCCGATAAAGAGTCCATTCCCTTTCTTTCTTGTAGCCCCCCTTTAGACACTGAAAGGCAACTTTTAGGTCTCCCCAGAACTTTGTCTTCTCCAGGCTACTACATCTGCTGGTCTTATTTTGGTCTTGTATTTTGCCAACTCTCTATTACTTAGGTTAGATATTCTGCTACACGAATAGCAAAAAAAAAGCTATTTGCTTACAAATATTTGTATTATAGCTTTTTGCTATACAAATAGCAAAAAGAGTCTTTTGATATTAAAAGCACTAACTAAAATTCTAGACTCTAAAAAAAAAAACAAAAAAAAAAAAACAAAAAAAAACAGTTATAATCTCCCCCCTCCCTGCCTTTGCTACTGTTGTTACAATCACAGGGCTAATTCTTCATTCTCTTCTCCTGAATCAGAACTCTCAGAGATCAAAAATGCTCTATGACACAAGCTGACTATATAAACACAGCTGATTAATTATATATGCTTTTTTCCCAATAATACAACTGCTATTCTTGGGGTTTAAACCAGAGCAAGATCAGAAAACAGTTGAGCAAAACCAGAAAAATAAACCAAAAGCACATCACCCAACTTGTCTTTCATTTTCAAGTTATGAATATGATTCAGAAGATAAGTGGAAGAAAGTCTCGAAAACTCCTCCAACAGTTCAAGGCTCTCAGCCCCAAGCAGAACTTCTTCAGGCTGGAACATAAAACGAGAATTCTGGGGCTGTCATACACAAAGGTCTTTGGCTGCTGACGCTGCCATGCAATTACAATAGTTGCAAATGCCTTTTTGAGTTCTACTAAACAAGCTACTGTGGTACAAACTTTTCCTGCTCCCTTAAGCTACAAAACATTTGAATCTTCAGAATCAACCTAATTCAAGTACACAGTTTGAAAGAAAAAAAGAAAAAAAAAAAGACATAATTCCTGTAGGAGATGGATATTCTGGGCAGGAAAAGAAAAGATCCTCTACTATCTACGCAACTACAGCAGATGCAATGTGCCACAGACTAACAAAGAAAGGTCACCTTGCAGCCCAAGGCAAGAGTAACTAGAAACCAGTCATCTTTTCCAAACGTTGCAGCAGCTCAAATGGGTTATTAGTGGAAAAGCTACAGGGCATGGTGTGTGATGAATGCCACGCACTGAGAGAAAGCTCAGGGCAAGGTGCGAAACCCTGTCACGGTACCCTTCCTGGAGACATGAGCAGTATGAGACTGCAAGATCAGTCACTGCCTTCCTCAGTACACCACACTGAGCTGAGGGCCTCAGCAAGTCCAACTTTTTTCGAGCAGGAAAGGTCTGCGTCAACACCTGCGAGGCTCTGATACAGCATTTGTCAGCAGCACTGACAGTGACCACGTTTCCATCAGAGCCCAAGGGCAGCATCCAACAGGTCCAAAGGGTGAGTTGATAGCACAAAGGAACCTTAACACTTAAATAGCTCTACATCTGACACCTGAGTTTTTACCAGCTTTACATTGCTCCTCCAAAACATTTGGGAGTAAATAGCCTTTGTAGACCTTAAATGAAGTACTTCTTAGAAATACCCTGAATTCCTTATGTTGAACAATATATATGTTTAAGTACAGTTTAATATGCATATTTAGTATCTGTCTTAACTTTTAAAATAGCGTTTTTTCAAGAGGAGTCTGCTCTTTTTCCAGAAAGACTTGTGCTGTCAGGCACAAATTCCAATGAAAATTCCAGTACACGCTCAACAATTTAGGAAATTTCATAAACAAGGACACACAGAATATAATGACAACTGTCCTGCAGCAGCAACAAAGCCACAGAATTTATTCACTCAGACCAATATAAATATTTCACTTTTTTTGAGATATTAAGTCAAATAACATTTTCGATTAACTATTAGCTTTGCTGAGATATCAGAAATTCTGTTACACTAACGTTATACACACAAATAATAAATGGATTGCAAAGTCTAGTCTATTTGCCCTGCACAGAACAAGTAAAATAAGTGCCTGCTAAAATACTTTCTGCTGTGAGTTCCCATAAAATAACAGTCATAAGTCAGTAAGTCTCATCTTGTCTTCTCATGCTATTTCAGCCAGAACTTTTACTTGTTTTTGAATCTTCCTCTCCCTCCATATTTGTCAGGCTTGTGTTGCTTAGATGCACATTAAAACTTTAGATAACCAAATAATGCACTCATACCACACAGCACTGCACTTCTAAAAACAGCATTTGACTCCAGCTGTTTTACTGTAACATACTTTCAAACACAGCTTAGAGAAGTATATAAACTATAGGAACACTGAAACATACAAAAGCATAATCCTCAAATTTTAAGTTGAAGAGAAAATACCAAACAAGCTGGTAGGATCAGGACAGCCAATTTTTACTGAGATTGGAAAGAACTCTGCATACAAGGCCTTAGGAACATCTTACAATGTTTTTAATCTTCTATTTTTACTGAAAATAAGATAATTTCTAATACAGTAAAATCCTATAAAACAATTCAGGTGAAAATTTAAGTCAAGCTATATTTATAAAATATCTCTAATGTGTAATAACAAAAAAAAAATACTTTAAAAATAAAGTTTGTATTGGATTAGAGACTTTTTAAACTTCATCAAATCAGTTTGTTAGTATCATGTTGGTTACTGGTAGCTTTTTCAGGACATCAACTGTCCTCTCACATTACTTAGAAAGATATTGGGTACCATCTGTTCTTGCAAAAGATTTAAGCATACATCTATTAGATATCATGCTATTTATTTAATTCAGTACCCACTTCCCATTGTTGTATCTTCTGAAAAAAAAAAGTCAATTTAATTACAAGGAATAAAGATAATCTCTTCTACCAGGCTGCCCTGTCATCATGAGAGCTGAGAGGGAACCTGTACAAAGTAGGTTACAGGCGTTAGGAAGACTAAAACTAGAAGTACTTAACATTTAACAAAGAACTAACAAAAACAGAATATATGGTACTTAAAAAAAAATTACTATAAGCCAAGAGCTTGTCTAAATCAATCTCAGCACATCTGTCTGATGTAGAGCGTAAACAGGATTAGAGTTGGATTTATCTGCTTGACGCTAATTGTACTCACAGTTTCTGCACATGTCCACTTTTTTTTTCTCCCCCAAATACAGCATGAAAAGAAAGCCTGCCTGATATATGAATTTCTAGGAAGTTTTATGCCTCTATTTATCCTATCACTGATTTTAAAAAAATGAGACTGTCCTACAAATGAGACTGTCTTCCTGTTTACAATAATCTAATCTCCTATTTAATAAAAAGATGTCTAAATACACCATAATAAGCTAAATCAAAGGGTGAGATATTGATGCACTCAAATACACTTTAATTGTAAATTGTAAATAATTTTCATTCATTGAGAGAGTCAAATTAAGCTTTAAAAAAAATTCTCACATTTACAGCAAAATTGATCAAAATGCACTCAAGAAAAAACAGTTTGACAGAAAATAGAAAAGCTTGCAGAAGTGCATTGTTAAGATATAAACACTTCAACAATAAAATGTTTATTGAACTGTTATCTTACAGCAGAGGCCCAACATCTAGAAGAGGTGATTAGATCTGAGGACCTAATTCCTATAGCAGATATCTGGAGTACATTAAAAAGAGAAATACACACGCAAGCTGGGTGTATGGTTCAAGTACAAGATTCGGAAATAAGGAAAAAATGGGTTGTGCTTCCTTGTTCATGAATTCTTCCTACGACCTTTAGAAAGCCATTTCCCCACCTAACTATATTTTACAGATAAACTTACTGAACATTTTGTCCTGTGGTGCTTTGAAAATTTGCATCTTTAATAGTTCACTGCTATATCTGAGCACAATATAAAAACAAAATATTTAATTAGAAATAAAAACCATCAAGAATATACCAAAGAAAATTCAGTAAACAACAGTAGTTACTGTAGATCTTAAGCAGCATGAACACTATTTTCAAAATGACCATTCCAGATATACAATAAGATATAGTGGAAAAGGAAATACATAGAATGAAAAATGAAATCTATCTGGACAACGTGTTCACAAATTCAGGCTTAGCAGTATTTACTTAGATATAATAATGTTAAATAATGTCTAACAAATGCATACAGGAAAGCAACTACTAACTTAAGCCTATTTTTCCCCTTAGAATGTGCAGTGAAGTGGCATGCCACTGCTTCATGAAACCACTCCAGAGTTTTCAGCTGCAACACCGATTAAGAAGCATCAGTAAAGAAAACTACAATGGAGCAAGTATGATCATCCTTGCCAAAAAAGCTGATAAGTGCCATATAGCTCATGTCAGACTACTCAGTATTAGTTAAACACTCTAAACATAAGACAGAAAAGCTATTTTCAGAGCATCTGAGCATTCAAGTGCTTTCTATTTCAGACAGACAAATCAGGCAACACCTTGGGAAAAAAACTGATGCGATGCTTCTTACTCTCTCCCATAAGCAAAGAACGAAAACTTCACTGCTTGGCCAGAATAGTGATCAATGAATTGGAGAAAGGGTGAGAGAAGGCCCAGGCTTCAAAGGAGTTTGTGTTGTTTTGTTCTGTTTTTCTTTTGAAAACCACCTTTACACTACTGCCCTCCTTTTAAATGATGTTATAAAAGATGTATAACTCAGCCAAGACCCTACTCTAGAAAAA